CGACAATTGTTCTTAACTCAAAAACAATTTAAAAGCGCTTGGAGAAGCTCGACTCGAATTATGCTTTCTTTGTGAAAGTCAAACTCAAGATATATTTGAATAAATTAATTCCATAACCCCAATAATAAACCATCACAATATCCAAGTCAAAATATATTTTTAAGTGAAAGCGTTTTTATTTTAAGAAAGTCAATCTGTCAATCTAGTTTCCAGAAAGATTGAGAAATTTAACTCGAAGTAAATGAGGTGTTTTTCAATTCTCGCGTTAAGAATTGAGTCATCGCTTCAGCCTTTGACTATGAAAACTTAGCTAAGCATGATAGAAATCATACTCAACATTTTAAAAGAAAATAGCTTGGAAACAAAAGAATAAAGAAAAAGAAAGAAAAAATAATTTTATAAAGAAAAGAAAAAGAAGAAGAAACTAGAAATGTTTGGAATAACTGGTATGATCTCTAAGCTTACCCCATGGGGTATTTATAGTCTCCTAAAACCCTAGAAAATTACATTTGAAATAATTCAAGATAAATCCTAAAATTATCAAAATAAAATCCAAAATAAGGATAATTCCAAATTTAAAGTTTGAATTTGCATCTGAATATTCTGTTTTCACGGAAATGCTGACTGAACCTTCTAGAAGATGCTGACTGGATTTCACGTCCGTGTGTTCATGCCTACTAGGTCGCCCTTGATTCTGGAAAAGTGAAAACAAAAAGTGTAGAACTTCGTCTTTTAAGTGCAATTTCTAGAATTCAGAGTCCTACATAGAAAACAACTAGAAACACCCAAATAAGAAATAATAAGGAACAATAAAGGAGTATTTAAACACAAAATATAGCACAAAATAAACACTAGTCAGCTTCTAATAAAAATGAAGAGTTAGTTAGGCAATGGTGACTATATGTTTCCATCAATGAAAAATAAACTTATTCAACGTTATCAAATTTGTAACAAATGTTGTTGAATTTGACGTGATGTGATTCTGAAATATGAATTTTTCCTATGGAGGGAAAGCATGTATATAATGTAAGAGAGGAAGATAATGAAGAAGCATCATTAAAACGCACGTGGAATATAAAAAACATAAAAAACAATTCCACGTTACCTTCCCGTTAAGTTTTTAATGTTACAGTACTAAAATGAAAAAATTAGGTACTAAAATAAAATAAAAGTGATACTTTAAGTACTAAATATAAAAGGCTAGTGAGAGAAGCTCCCGCTTCTCTCTAGAATCCAGGTGATTTCAAAGAAAAAAAGTTCATGTTTTGAAAATCTCATCCCCCGCTTCTCTCTAGAGCCCCGAGCCCATGCGTTTTTAAAAATTATGTTCTCCACCAACATCCACCGTCCTGTCCACCGCTACCGTTCGTCGCCACCATTAGCCGTCTGCCGCTACACTCCGACCTCCGTTTGATGCCTTTTTTTTCCTGGGAATATCATCTGCTCACGGTGATTCCAAATCTGGGATTAGATTTGCGATAAAGTCTTTCAACCGACACAGATCTACACGTCATTCACTGCCAATTTACGCTGCCTTTCGTCGTCCGTGTTCGACATCGCCTCACCACCGAGCTTAGTGTCTTATCGCGACCAAAACTCCCCTATCCTAGTGTCGAGAATCATTGCTATTCTCCATGAATTTGTAGTGAACTGTCTTGGTAAGAATAGTTACCCTTTCCTCCAAACTTTTTGTTCTTTTTTTTTCTGCCATCACAGTCTACAGACGCCGTGCCAGCTTCCACCTACAATAGCCGTTGATCAATGAAACTACAAGGTTATTTTTGGGACATAGCTTGCAATTTTGTAAGGAAAATCTATGATGTGTTTCCGACGATGCTATTCAAGAACTTAATGAAGCTCTTGGGGCTGCAAAAACAAGTCTAGAAAGTTGTTCATTGTTCATAAGAGCTGCTATAAAGTGGTCTCCAAAGTTTGGTGCTTCCGGGAAAGGTGATCCACAACTGCATGTTATGTTGGCAGAATACATATATTCTGAATCTATTGAGTTGTTGAACACTGGGACTTCCTGGTTTTGCTTGCTTTGACGCCAACATCAAGTGTAGGCTTTCATAGTAAACCTAAGCCGAGTGTTTCCTCAGTTCTATCACCGTATATAGTTTATATTTCCGGCTATTGTAATTCAATTATGAGCTTGGGTTCATTCTCCTTAAATCGGACGACGTCAGTTCGGCTTATAATGTATTCTCCTTCGGTAGCTGCTGGATTGGCTCGGTTCCGAGGTTATACAAGGCTTTCTCACCTTTGGGTTTTGCCAACGGAGAGGCTAGATTTCGGTTAATGGTTCTGCCCGAAAGTTCTGGCTCAAAGATGAAGGGTATGAAGCAACAACGAGTTACCCGATCACAGCCGAAAATTTGTGAACGTCTCCAAACAATCACCGAGGGCCGTGAATGGCGGGATACACCTGTTGAGAAGGAAATTGTTAATGGTGGTAATCAGAAGTAGTCGTTGAGCGATGGAGATAGAAAGAGTCAGTTTAAGTCGAGATCAAGTGGGGAAGTGCATTCGAAAGGTTATTCTAATGAAAAGTCATATGAAGAAGCAAGAAGGAGGAGAATCGAGTTTCACAATTGGTGGAAGGAAGGCTAACCGAAAATTCGTAATGGGTATAGAAGTGGTTGCTACACATTATTTATCAAAAACTTACCAGAGAAGATCCATTGGAAGAGGTTTCAATCTTTTTTTGCACCCACGGTTCGGTTATTGATGCTTTCATTCCTAACAAAATAAATTCAAAAGGCGTTCGTTTTGGGTTCATCCATTTTGCAAAAATCGAAGAAGCGAGGAAAGCAATCTAAAAAATGAATGGTTCTTTTATTGACGAAAGTAAAATTAGTGTTTCTTTGGCTAAATTTAAACCTCGACATTCTTTTTGGAGAAAGTCATCTACATCTATTCAACACAAGTCGGTGATGGAAAATGTTTCGAGGAATATTCATAGTGAAGTTAAAGGTGTTGTGGATGAGAATAAACTTCACGTGTTGAGTAAATGTCTAGTGGGTTGGTGCAAGAACTTAATCAAAATAAGTAATCTCGCTAGTCAAATGCAAGCCAATGGACTCACTATTTTCTCATTAATGAGAGCTGCTGGGAATGCAGTACTTATGATTTTTGAAGACTTTTCTTCATTGAGAAGTGTGAAGAATGATGAATCACAAACTCTTGCTAAGTGGTTCTCTAGAGTTGAAGCCTGGTCAGAAGGTCTGGTGGTGGAATGTCTTGAGTGTAGTTAGTTTGCAAGGGAGTCCCTTTCACGCTTGGAATTGGAATACTTTCAAAAACATTGCAGACAAATGGGGTAATTTTTTAGCAATCAAAGAAAGCTGTCAATCACCATCATCTTTTGATCGGGCAAAAATTCTAATCCTCACAAAGGGGAAATTGAGAATTGACGAGTTGGTGGAGTTGAAGGTCGGTGCTAACTCATTCAAAATCATGGTGCATGAAATTGAGCCTTCCTTCATACCAAATTCTTGGGTCCCTGACGAAGTCGATACTCATTAGATCTCATTTCTTCAATTGGGGCTTTGAGTTAGTTTAATGTTTGCAGGTGTTGGTTTTCTTTTTTGTTTTGTTCTTTTGCGTGGTATTGTTCCTTTTGCTGGAGGTGTAAATTAGAAACAGGATTTTTGGTTGAGGAAGTTAGAGTTTTAGGTGTTTCTGATTTGTTGTAATGGTGTATTTCTCTATTTGAGAATATTCGGTGCTTCCTTATGTATTCGATACTATTATTAATAAACTATGAGGTACTCTTTTCTTTCTTCCAATGTTCGTTAACATACTTCTTAGTATGTTGACCAATACGAATGGAGTTTTCAATGAGGCTTCCAACTTCTATAAAAAAAAAAAAATTAATGCGACAATAATTACTATTTACCTTGTATGAATTCAAGATGGCCCTACTCTAATCATTTGTCTTCTTTCCATTGAGCTCTGAATTCTTTCCCTGGCATGCCTTAGAGTTTAAAGAACTTCACCTATGCTTTTGCTGACTATCTTTATCTCCGGGGTCAGCTTGGTTTCTGGTAGGAAGAGCGGAACCAGTGCCAACGAGATATCAACATAATCATCATCCCCATCCTCAAAATTTTCATTTTTCCCATTTTCGATCTCCACTCTTGAAGCTTTCAAGCTTGAAGAACTGAAAATGAAGTGTATAAAATGATCAAGTTTAATATTAACCGAATGCAAAATCAGCAGGATAAATGTGGGGAAATACCTTGTGTCATCAACGTTTGGAACTTCATGGCCTGAACCTGGTTTAACACTGGACTTCTCATGTGAAGAGTCTTTTGTATCAGATTTAGTAGTCCCTGGAGAATCAGAATTTTCATTGCTGAAAGAAATTTCAAAGCTTTTTATAGATGTAGTGGAGTCTGATGCATTTTGAGACATGGAAGCTGTCTTTTCTGGGTTTTTGGTGCTCGAACTGCTTGTGGATGAAACACAAGAAACTGCACAGTGCTCGGATTCTTCCAAAGTAGACAATAATTTGAGGGATACAAGCTTCTTCCTCAGCAATTTGAGCCTTCTCTCAGCTTTGTTCCGTAGTTTGGTCTCTTCTTTTAGTTCTATCTCAAGCTCCATTAGCTGTAGTTGGAGAAACAAAAGAAAAAAATCAGATATTTTTCTTTAGCCGATTGAAACAAAGGCTAGAATAACTTAACCTTATTTCCCATAAGTTCAGCATCTTGTTTTGCAGTGTTTGAAGCTTGCCTCTCTGCAAGAAGCCTTCCCCTCAAGTACTCCACAGTCCACAATCCTTCATCTCTTTGCTCCATCTTTCACTGGAAGGAGAAAACAAAAACAAACAAACAAACCCAAATTATATTGAGGCAATGACACTGATTGAGAAAAAAGAGGAACCCACTTCCATTGCCATTTTTCATGAAACCCACTCACCATGCACTTTGTACTAAGATGACAGCACAGTTAATGGGGGAGTTCTTCCAAAACAAAAGACTCTCGGGCTGCTAACAATGTTGCAAAATCCAAGGTAAAGGCTTTGGCCTCTTCATCTACTCCAGGTGGCTTAAATGTCATATCCTTCTTCAAAGACACATAATTTGGCTACCGTTTTCTCCTCACTCTAGCCTTTCGCACTGCCATAATCTTTGTGGCACTTCTTTTAACATTCTGCAAATTGGGGTTACACAAGAAAAAAAATTTGAGCCTTTTAGTTGCTGAGATTTTGACATGCATCAGTTAAAGGGAATTCTTATTGTCTTTCACTTTGCTCAAAGACGTGGGCCACTTTTTTTATGTATTTGTTTTAGAAACTGGTAAAATAGGCCCTGAAATATATTCATTGTTGTGGTTTAGATCCACAATCTGTATCAATATTGAAGTAATGCCTATAACCACATGAATTAAGTGAGATTTGTTTATGATTTGCTCCTAATGGAATACATTGTTTGACAGATTGAGCATTAATTGCATTGTGAGATTTGGGTTATGTATGTGGAGCCGAGAGGGGAATGTTGGTGGTTAGAATTATAATGCAATTGGCCGGCAAATGCTATTGTAGGCATTTTGTCAGTAAGTTTATGTACATTTCAAGAATCTGTTTACACCCTCTTTCTTATCTTATAATTATCTCTTCCCACTTTGATATGCAATAAAACAAGCAGAGAAAAAGAAAAAGCTCAACCCATTTCCTCGAACTTTATCCTATCCTATGTTATGGCTTACGAGCGCTATTACAAGCTCTAATTTTAACAAGAAAAAACTAGGTAAGCTTCAGGCTTGTGCACTCATCACGGTCAGTTGTCGTCATTCACGCTCACAAATTCCGATTCTTTCTCTTCATTCATGGCTAAACAAGTTCATTTCCACATTATTTAATGCAGAGGGGAAAATGTCATAGAAACACTACTAAAGAACTGGAAATCTTGTGTGTTACTGTTTACAAAGAGTGACACTTGAAATAATCTTACTTTCATGATATAATGTTTCAGATACAAGCAAAGGTTCCCCACTAGCATAAGAAAAAAGCAAACTCAAAAGACTACCAAGCAAAGAAATATAGATGATCCTGAAGACTTCCATGTCTGCAAGATGTGATCAATAAATGCTAAAATTGTTCTAAAGTAATGCTCTGATCAAGTTCAAAAGTTATATTTGAACCGGAGAGAGAATAGAAGGCTTACATGTGAATTGGACAGTGCCCCTTTACTTGGCCAACAAGTATCAGTTTTCTGCTACAACCAAAAGAGAAATGCATTAAGGATTCTATGTCTTCAACATCTTTAGCAATAGTATAAAATAAACGAATTAAAGCCTCAAGGGTGCATTTGAATCCTTGGAAGGGTTGTAATGATTATATTGATCAATATGCAATGATCAAACATAAACACTCTCCTCGTCAAACTTAAAGTATAAAATATACCCTTCTTCCTTCATCAAACCAAGCAGCCCTTCTAATAGAAAGTATATATCTCTTCAGTTCTTTCAATCGATCTATCCTTCGCAATAAAGCTTTGTAATCCTCCACTGGTTTCAATCCAACTAGTGCCTGAGATCTTCTTTAGCCCAATATTCCTCATTTTTTCTCGGATCATATCAGCTTCTTTCCATCTGCCAGCTTGTGAATATAGGTTTGCCATGATGATATAGTTTCCAGTATTCTCAGGCTCTATCTCAGTTGCAATTACACAAGTTGCAATCCTTTGCTGGTATAAGTGATCCAATAATGCACATAGGTATCACCTATAAGGTGATATGACCAAAATTTACATATAAATGTGTTGTAACATTAAAAAAACTCGAGTAATTCTCCTCTTAAGAGAAAAACTTTAGTTTACACTAATTTTCAAAAATTTGAATTTTTTATAAATTAATTTGGCGTTGTTATTGAATTTTGGGTTAGTCAGGTCAAATACCTAAAAATGTCTTTTATAATAATTTTAAGAAAAAATTAATTTAAAAGATAAAAGTTTACGTGTTTACCAAAGATTCATTTGAAAAGGTTCATGAGTCGATTATGTGTGGGGAAGAGTAAACATTACCACAACTCCCAATATTGGTACCTAATCGCCTATACGTTGTCGTGATAGGTAAAATTATAAATTCACGTCGAAAATTAAAATATTATCCTTTTTATTGGACATTGATTAATTTTTTTTGAATGATTTATTGAGGGACATTCCCCATTTTGAGAAGAAACCACGAGATTTGCACATCAACTAATAAGAAGTTTATCCCATTGATTTTCTTCTCTATGTAAGAACGTCCCCTTTATTTAATCATCAAAATCATGCAAATTGAATATAAATTTAACAAAATATCGAATAAAGATGCAAATTGAATAATAAAGATGCAAAAATTAAAAGGGGTTGATTTTTGGAATGCTAGTTACAAGCCTCAATATAGTTGAATTTTGAGAAAGTTTCTTAAACTTAGGAATGAGGCGGATGGGCTGTTTGCTAATGTGGAGGCTTGGGATGTGGTGAAAAGTAGATGGGTTTGGGAGAAAGTTAGAGATAGATGGGAGAAGGTTCTGTGGGAAGATCTTCTCTGGTTTCCTTTGCATATCCCAAAAATGTCAATTATTTCTTGGATGGTCATTTTAAATAGGCTGCCTACTAAAGACAGGCTTATTCGATTGGGGTTGGAGTCGGATGGGAGTTGTGGTCTTTGTGAAGATGGGTTGGAAAACAAAGAAAATTTGTTCAATGAATGTGTTTTTGCTGGTGGAGTCTGGAGCAGAGTTATGTTGGCCTGTAGGTTGCCTTGTAGGTCAATGTGCTGGAATGAAGCTTTGGCTTGGACAATTGCTAACTTCAAAGGGAAGTCTTTGCTTGTTTGTATCTTGAAGTTGGTTTGGAATTGCTTTCTGTATTTTGTTTGGGAAGAGCGTAATCTTAGACGTTTTAGGGGATGCTCTCGTTTAGTTGACGAGATCTTTGAATGAGTTAGGATGGTTGTTCGTGCTAAGTTACAGGGTTGTTCGTGCTAAGTTACATGGTTGTAGTATTAACAAGCTTGATAGGGTTAATTTACAGTTTTGTCTTGATTGAGGAATTTTTTTTATTTTAGTTTCCTTTGTTGCTGGGCTTATAGTGTTGTTGTTTTGGTTACTTGATTGTTGAGGAGAGTGGCTCCTTGGGGACAGGAGGTTCACTAGAAGACTCATCGCTTTGCAGAGTTTGGTTTTCTCTCTTAATTATGCAAAAATGTTTTGTTTCTTACATGTTTATATTATGGTTTCTTATTCTGGTATGAGTTGGTCTTTTGGATAGGTTTGTTGTTTTGATTGGTGCCTAGCAGGGTTGACTGCTTGGTAGTTCTTTTGTAGCAGGTGTTCCTATTTTCTTTTGGGTAATAAAATTGAAGTTATTCAAAAAAGACAAAGAAAAGAAATCATACACATTTGTCATCATTAAAACTAAGATAAAAGAATAATCAAATATTACTTCGTTCCAACAAACCTACAAAATTTTGCATTAATTTCTTAATCTATGGTGAGAAAGTAAAATTCATTATTTAGAGGAAATTTGAAATATTTTCCCCTTTCTTAATAGATGTGATTTAAATCAACTTCACTTTTCGCTCCAAAGTCGTATCGAATCACATTACTTCTATTAAGTAGTGCTTTTCAGGTCTATTCTATGATAGATGTTTTAAAAAATATACGAGTAATAATATTAGCAAATAAAAGGGTATTTTACAACTCTACTAAAAATATTTTTTAAAAAACACGGGTTAATGATAAAAAAAAGTAAATAAATAAAAATTAATAATAAAAGTTACTATACTTATAGATTAAATAAATTAAAATATTACATATAGGTTAGCATTTAAAATAAAACTAAACCAAAGAATAATGAAAATACCTACAAGTTAAAATCAGGACCAAATCAAAACAAATGGAAAATTACATGGGATAAATGAGCATGAATGTGCGTATGGTAAAGAAGGATGATTAAATTGTAAATAATAAAAAATTAGGATATGAAAATGGAATAAATCATACATGGAATCCGATAATAAAATAAAATAAAACAGAAAGTAAGATATATAAATTAAAGGACTGAAATTAAATTACTAAAAAATAAAGGACATAAATTAAAATAACATAAAAACAAAGGACATAAATGTAAATAACAAAAATTAAAAGTCAAATAAAATTAAATGGTTAGCAATAAATTTTAATTTTTACCTGGACCAAAAATAATACAAGTCGTACCCTGGGATGACACCTCGCGAGGTCGTAGAATTATATATATAAGTTAGTAATTAATGTTAGAAATTAAAGTATGTGGACCACAATAATACGAATAGTATCCTAGGACAGATCCTTGCAAGGTCTTAAAATTAATTTCAGTGCTAGAAAACAAAAGAGTTAGTAGTTAGTGATTAGTGTTAGAAAATTAAACTCGAGCCATAATAATATGCGCAATACCTTGTAAAGGGTCACCACAAGGTCGAATCGAGTAATTAAAAAATTACAAATAGAGATTAAAACAAAGTAAAAAACATATTTGAATTAAAAAAATAAAATGATAGATTTAACAGCGATTAAATTGTAAATCAACAAAATAACAAGCTAAATGTGAAACAAAAGAGGACATCCAGAAACTAATGACCAAAATGGGAAATAGGGCTAAGTTACAGTGACCTTAACTCGATTATCCCTAATATTCTAATATATAGTCTATTTTTTTTTCAAATAAGGTAAACTCACAAATCCATAGCCTCCTTGCCCTTTTTATTTCATTCAAATTGTCCCATGTTTTTTTAGCCAAAAACCCATGAGCCCCTCAATAGCAGCACTGCCATTGTAAACTAATATTGGCTCACAACTCTGAACACCAAGGATCATGACCAATGTAACATCCTAATCTTGTCTGACCTAAATATCACTAGATCACGATGTCACACAGGACCACCTAAGTGCCTAACCCATAAATTTTTTTTTAAAATAACTGAATGTCAAGTATCTGATAAAATTGTCAATAATAATAATAATAATGAAAATTAGAAACAACCGAGTTCACAAGTATGGATGAGCTCCCAAAATATTTAAAATAATACAATAACGAGTTAAATCAAGAGTTATGACTAAATATACAAGGGTCCATAATAGTACATGCCCTCTAAAAGCGACTCAAGACATACTCTAAAATACTCGGCTACTTTGGTCTGCTGTACTGGAATGCCTAATGACGATAACTCCTCACGAACGATTTCTTAACTTGCGCAAGAAAATACATTCTAAACAATAAGCTTACAAGCTCAGTGTCTCACTAAAAATTGTGCTATACTACATGCATTCATTAAATATGCTAGCTGGTGGAACATGTATAAGGGCATAAAAGATAGTGGTCTACTATAATGTGGTGCACATCATGGTACAACTGAGGGATTCTGTATCTCGGACCTCACACACTCCTCTAGTTTGTCTGAATACTCGAAGTTACTCTAGGTGACATCCAAAATTTGCATTTAAAACGTACACCCGACCACCAACTCACTCCGTCGAGTCTTGGGGCATCTGTGCCTAGCTGGCGATAAGTGCCTTGAAACTGATTGAGATATTCGATTGTACGATTGTATATGCTAAAGTGACTTTGGTGTCCTCACTATATCCCTAGTGTCAAATAATGATAGTTTTATTTTATCCTAGTTGTTGTTGTTTCTAACTATTATGAGTTAATTTAATGTTCTCACTTTTAGTTTTATTTCGTGGCATTCTGGTATAAAAGGGACCCCTAGAACCTACTATTTAAATTCTTGGGTTTTCTACTCAAGTCTGTCAGTGGGTACCGATACTAAGCCTTTAGTATCGATACTGTCTCTTGAGTATCGATACTGACCCCTGAGTATCAATATCATTTTTAGTTTCAATGTTTCGATAATTGATTGAGTATCGATACCCCTATGGAGAGTATCAATATTGGTGTTGATACCCTCTTAGGTATTGTTGAGTTAATCGATTGACGGAATCGGCCAAGAGGGGGTGAATTGGCAATTAAAAAATTTGTTGAAGCTTTTGCAGAAAATTGAAAGTAATTGCACAGCGATTTAGAGTGGTTCGACTTTATCAACCAAAGTCTACGTCCACTACCTTAACTATCCACACTAAGGATTTTCCAACAAATTCACTAATTTGTTCTTTCTTTTGAGGCCAAAGAGATAACCTTACAACTCCCTCAAGAATATACCCTAATTCTTGAGAACACTCTTTTCTCAAAGAGAAGATTACAAATTTGCAAACTTACAAGAAAAACCTCACAAGGAAAATATGTTTGCACAATTCTAGAACAAAGAAAGAACACTCAAGAATAAATACGATTGAGCACAATAAGTGTTCTTGAAAGCAAAATGAATATTGAATGAAAAATAGGCTTGAAATGCTCAAACTTGAGGTTTGATGCTTTCTCTTTGATTCTCTCTATATTCTAGTTGCTTGATGTTTCTTGTTATTGATCAATGGCTTCTAAGCTTGCTTAAATACACCTTGAATCACTTCTGAACGTTGGGGATCATTAATGAAGTTATTGTAGCCATTTAAGTGTGAAAACAATTAATATTTCTGCTTGGAGCGTGGGGGGAATCGGTTCCCTAAGTGTAAAATTCAAATATTTCGACCATTGAACAATGGGGGGGGAATCGGTACCCCTCGGGGGGAATCGGTTCCCTCCGAGCATATTGGAATTTTCGAAGCCAAACCATTCAGGGGGGAATCGGTACCCCCTTGGGGAAAATCGGTACCCTCTTAGCAATCTGGAATTTTTGTCTTTGAAATGGTTCGAAATATTTTGTAAAATCATTTTGAAATTATTTTAAGATTAAAACTTAATTTTACACTTGAGTAAGGATTTAAAATGAACTTTGAAATACTTTGAGTAATATTTTGATATTCGATTTAATATATCGAATATGCTTAGAAAAGTCATTTTCAAAATTAAAATTCTTTTAATTTAATTTGTTATATCGAAACATCAAAATATTTTCAACAATCTCCCCCTTTTTTATATAAGAAAACATTTTAAGATTTTCTAATTTCAAAATGAATTTTGATTTTGAAAAAAATACTACTCCCCCTTACTTTAACAGTACTCCCCCTTACTTTAACACTTCTCTTAAAAAACGCTTTTATCTTCCCCTTTTTGTTAAATCAAAAAGACTCGTAAAAGATTTAAACAAGGTTTTGAAATCATTTAGCCAATTGATTATATATATATAGCTTAAACTGCTAAGAACACAATCAAAAGAGAGGTTGTCCATTAGTTTCATAATCAATATTCATAAAGATGTAATGGATAATTGGTCATATATGTCTAAAGATGCAAAATAAACACGAAATCCAAATCAAATGTATTAAACATAAGTTCGAACAACCAAAAAATAAACAATCCAAAAGCAAATGTTTTAACAATAATGCAATTATCTAAGTTCAATCCAAACAAGCAAAGCTAAGATCATAGTTCAAGCATCCGTAGAAGGATCGGGAGGAGGGAAATGAGCTCGCATAGCTGCCATTTCATGAGTGATTTCATTAATACGAGCGTTGGTTGCTTCATTGTTTGCACACATCTCCTAGAGAATTTCCAATTATTGAGCTTCCATAGTCGAGAAGTGAGATTCTATGGAAGTGAAGCGAGAATCCAAGGATGCATAACGGAAATCAAATGTCTCCATAAATGATTGAAAATATGGAGGCACATGATCTTCTTGCTGAGCTTGTTCCTCGTGTTTTTCCGGCTCATCGTCAGCTTCGTCAATATCTTGCATTAATTGTTCAAGCTCGGGATCGTAGTCAGCTTCTGGTGGAGCTTGAGAAGAGCTAGCTCCCAGAGTATTTTCAAAAGATCGAACCCATTCACCGGTGTCCTTATTCTTTATCCATCCCACTCTCGTTAAGGAAAGAAGATTAATTTGTTTCTTGAGAGGAAAGACGACATCTAG